TTCAGACTGATATGATTTCAAGTGACCGGAAGTAAGTTTAACACACCCAACCATAATCCAACTGCTTTTTTTGTTGTTGTTGTTTTGTTTTTTGTTTTTTTCCCCTAACTTCTTAATTCCCTGCCCTCAGTAAATGTTTAAGTTTCTCTGTCTACATAATAGCAGAACATTTAAAAAGAATGTTGGGGCGGGAGTGGGAGAAAATCTCTGACATTCTCAACTCAGTGTTAGCATATGGACTCTCCCATCCTGAGTTGAACCATTTTCAGAGTTGGCTTTTGTGAGTAAAAACATTGATCAGACGGACCAAGAGGTGGCGTAATGGTTATGTTGCTGGACTCCCACGTAGTTGACTGTGATTCGAGTCCTGGACTCAGTGGCTTAAACTCACACCAGGCATGTGTGTGTGCATACCCAAGATCCCGGGAGGAGAATGGAGGAGAAGCATGGCCGTACCTCCTGGGGGGTGATTTTTTACTTTCTATCTCTCTGTCTCCCTGGCGAGCACACATGCCCTATAGCAAAAATCTCTCAAAAAATAACCATTGATCAAGACTGTATGTAGCTACCTGTCATACCTTCAGGGAACACGAAAAAGTGTCAAAAGGAGAAGCCTCTGTAGTCTCTTTCCTTTCCCCTCCACAGTCCTTCTTCCCATTGCCCTCCTTTCTCCTTCCCCACTGGCCCTCGTGCTCCGACTGTGTCTAATGGTGCTAAGGATCAGTCTGAGGTGGGTGTGGGCAGAGCTGGTCAAGTGAGGGCCCATCCAGCAAACGCCAAAAGGAGCAAAAAAATGAGGGTTTGAAGGCAAGGCAGAATGAAGACATTTTACCTGGATTCCCCTTGATGCTCCATCTGTAGTGCATACTCTCAGTTTCTGGTGGATGTTTAATAGCTGTTAGTAGATATGAAGAGTGGGTAGCTTTTGTGTGACCTGTTTATAAAACATCAGTGATTTTTTTTTTTTTTGGAGAGGTTTTTTTTGGTTTTGTTTGTTTGTTTGTTTCCCACTATAGGGCGCGTGCGCTCACCAGACAGAGAGAGACATAGAGACAGAAAGCGAGAAATCACCCCCCGGGGGGATGGTCACGCCGCAATCCATTCTCCTCTCGGGATCTTGGGCGCACACGTGCCTGGCGTGAGTTTTAAGCCACCAGGTCCGGGATGCGAACCACGGTCGACTACGTGGGATTCCAGCGACATAGCCATTACGCTAACTGCTGGTTCCCACATCAGTGATTTTTTTAAGAGAGATTTTTGCTATAGGGGACCCGTGCTTGCCAGTGAGAAATCACCCCTCGGGGGATGGCCACACCACAGTCCCTTCTCCTCCATTCTCTTCTTGGGATTTTGGGCAAGCACTTACATGCCCGTGGTGTGAGTTTCAAGCTGCCAGGTCCAGGACTCAAACTGCAGTCAACCATGTGAGAGTTCAGCACCGCAGTCGCCATGCCACCTGCCGGCTCCCCACTGTGATCCTGTGTGCTGTGTAGCTCTTACTACACGTCGCACAGCTGTACGGGGTAACGTGCTGAGTCCGTCCGCTGCTCTACAGTGCAGAACCTGGAAAGGGCCTGTAAACAGCCTTTTGCTTTGCTCCGGAAGAGAGAAAATGCCTGTGCTCTTTTGTTTTCATCAGCTTTTACAGGTGTAGTGTCTTAATTGTCTTTTTAATTAGGGACAGAGCTTCCAAAAAATAACTTAATAAAGTAACCTTAAAAATATAGAACCAGGAGACCAGTAGGAGTAGTAGGTTTGAACTCATCAGGAAGAGGTGCTTTAAAATATGGTAGTAGGATAAGGATACATTTAGTGTGGATAGCCCTTGTCATTTATGGGTCCCTCATGACCTGCCTCCCATGATTGGACGTGCACAAGAAGAGAAATGGATGTGTTTTATATTTGCAATACACTCAGTTTCCGAGACATTGGGAGAGTCGAGTCATGTGGTCTTCCAAATAAATGAGTACTAATTATCTTTCCTCTCTCTGGCCAAAGGCAAATCCTCATAATTATGTTGTGGTAGAAAGTCGGGGGACTATCGCTTTCTTGCTTGACCAATTTAAAGTGTTCTCATTGTTATCCTTGAGTGCTTAAAATGGCTCAGCATTCCATGCGTCCAAACGAGCAGAAACCCCTGCTGAAGGGCGCACTGACCCCGGTGTTTCCGAGTAGGCCTAGCACAGGAGGCTTTGCATCGTACTTATTCTTCCACACTCTGTTACTTTTCTTATCCCTCACCCTTTACTGTTTCTTCTGTACAAGGGGACTTCCGAAAATTCCTGGAAAACAGAATTAAAGTATAAGTTTATTTTGGTGCAAAAAAAAAAAAAAAAGAAAGAAAAGAAAATCCACACATGGTTTTTCGTGAGATGCACTTTCTGTGACTTCCGCAGACCCCTCGTAGGCATGTTTTTCTTCTCTGCTTGCCGCTGCTGTTGAACTGAAGGCAGGGCCACGGGTGGTGAGAGAAACCTCAGCAAGCAGTGCATTTCCTCCGAGCTACAGCAGGGGGAAGCTGGAGATGCTTCTGGGAGATGGGATTCACTGTGTAAAACTCGGTTTCATCACAGGCCAGATTGCGCTCTGCCAGCACCAAATCCCGCAATTTCTTCTTGGTGCCTACACAACTATCAAAGGCAGCTACTTGCTGCACCGCCCACATTTTCCTCTGCCTTCTGTTTATATTGTGGGTTCGTCATTATTTCAGGGACGACCTCAGGCAGGATTCTGAATCATTACTCAGTTTTGGTCTCTGAAGGAGCTAAACTCACATGCATTTTCAGCCGCAGTGTATGGCCCCAGGGTCCCCCAGTCACTGATGACAGTGGCAATGGCTGAGCTTGCCCCCTAGTGACAGTACAAATAGACACTCATCCCGAGGACACAGCAGGGCAAAGGAGAGACTGCCCTCAATGAGAAACTGGCCTGCAGTGAGGTCATTTTACGTGTTGCTCTGACCCAAATTACTTAACCTCTGTGCTTTTCTGGAGCTGATAAGATCTTAATGTTGCTTGTTTTCTCATCAGTTTTAGGGGGTTTGCCTAAAACTGCCTTGTGGTTGCCAAGAGGTCTTCATTTGCATGTTTCACAACTGCCTCTGAACATTTTTTAAAGCAAGTGGGTGGAATACGGGTGGTGAGAGAAACCTCAGCAAGCAGTGCATTTCCTCCGAGCTACAGCAGGGGGAAGCTGGAGATGCTTCTGGGAGATGGGATTCACTGTGTAAAACTCGGTTTCATCACAGGCCAGATTGCGCTCTGCCAGCACCAAATCCCGCAATTTCTTCTTGGTGCCTACACAACTATCAAAGGCAGCTACTTGCTGCACCGCCCACATTTTCCTCTGCCTTCTGTTTATATTGTGGGTTCGTCATTATTTCAGGGACGACCTCAGGCAGGATTCTGAATCATTACTCAGTTTTGGTCTCTGAAGGAGCTAAACTCACATGCATTTTCAGCCGCAGTGTATGGCCCCAGGGTCCCCCAGTCACTGATGACAGTGGCAATGGCTGAGCTTGCCCCCTAGTGACAGTACAAATAGACACTCATCCCGAGGACACAGCAGGGCAAAGGAGAGACTGCCCTCAATGAGAAACTGGCCTGCAGTGAGGTCATTTTACGTGTTGCTCTGACCCAAATTACTTAACCTCTGTGCTTTTCTGGAGCTGATAAGATCTTAATGTTGCTTGTTTTCTCATCAGTTTTAGGGGGTTTGCCTAAAACTGCCTTGTGGTTGCCAAGAGGTCTTCATTTGCATGTTTCACAACTGCCTCTGAACATTTTTTAAAGCAAGTGGGTGGAAATAAGTGTCTTTTTTTTTTTTTTTTTTAGTGAAAAGGGGGCTTCTTACTACTCTAGATGATATGAAATTTTCCTAGGTGCAAAGGTTCAGGAGAGACCAGGTGGGGCCTCTCCCTGGAGGCACCCAAGGCAGAGCAGGGGTAGGGAAGCCCTGCCCTCTGCACAAGGTGATAAGGGCCACAGGACTGTGGGGGCGCGTGGGGGGGAGGGATCATAGGGCCAGGCTGAAAGGCCCTTCCTGCCCAGAAGAGAAGGTGGAGCCGGGGAAGAGCTCAGGGAGAGAGATAAGGACCCTCTGAAGGGCTGATGTGAGCAGTTTCTTCCAACCCCTGGTCCAGAGGAAATTGGGGAGGTTCTTTCCCTTGAGGATCCTGGACACTGAGGAAGACTTCGAGCTCCCAGTAGGAGAGCCCCTGGGGACTCAGAGGCAGGGTTGTGGCCCCACGGAGACTGTTTCAGTCCCTTTCCCAGCACTGTTCAGGCTTCTCCCCACAGGGCTTCATGAAGACACCAGCAGGGAGGAGGCTTAGAGGAGGCCACCCCTTCTGCAGCCTGCCTGGGTGGAATGGGGAGAAGTAGCCGAAGTCTGCCTTCTAGGACCTTGGGATGCAGTTGGGAAACGGGAATGCGAACATAAAGCCGAGTACCAGTGGTTCCCAGGGAATCGAAGAGTTGGAAGAGCAGCCCCTGAGCACCTGGCTGTCTTGGGGAGGGCGGAGGATGGGAGGAGGGCGCCTGTGACCCAGTGAGCGGGAGAGGAAAAGCATTGTGTGAAGGGCCAGTAGGAAGGGGCCGTTCAGTGTGAAGGGTCTCCTGTCATCCTAGTGCCCCACCCCAAAACACTAGAAAAGCCTTCATTTTAATAAAGCAATACTTGGTTTAAAAACCGACTTCAAAGGTGTTTCTCCTGTTTCAGAAGACATGGACTTAGTAGAGTTTGGGGCTTTCACAGACCTTTGTGTACTTTCTAATTCAGTTAATCTACTTTATATTAATTTATTTCCTTGTTGAGTTTTTGTTTATATTCAGGAGATTAAAAAATAAGGACTGTGCTCCTTTTTAAAATACACCTTTGAAAGCTGTGAATTAAGAATTTATCATGCTTTGAAGTATTAAAGAAAATGGCAAGAATTACTTTTTATTTTTACATATAATGGAATTGTGTTGTTGACACATAAAAGTGATAGATACCTATAAATAAAATACGGACTTGTTTCCTTGCCGCTTAAAACACACGGAACATTTCAAAGAGGTTGGAAATTAGGGAAATTGTACTTTTCTCCAAAGAAAAGTGGCTAATTTTTATATCGCCATCTTGCAGGGCATGCCGAGGCTTTGAACAGGAAAGATTTGTTTTTATCGTCTGTAGAGCACTTGCACATACATAACTGCATTTGATCCCTTGAACAGCCTTATCAGGTAGACACAGGGGGATTATAATCACCATTCCACAGATGAGAAAGGTGAGACCCTTGATTGGGCGACTTGCCTAAGGGTACCCAGCCGGCCAGCAGCAGCTCCAAGGCGAGAGACGTGGTACTTCCGAGTCCCACTCGGGGCTGGCTCATTTCAGTAAGGTCGGAAGACTGTACTCACAGGCTCTTAGTTTCACAAACCCTTGGGTGCTTCATATATTTCTAAATGACATTATTCAGGTACACAGTTCCCTAATACTGTAATTTTTTAAAACCTCAGAAACTTGCAGTTGAAAGTGGATAAAATTGTGTGGTACTGGGGTGCAGGTGATGACGCGCTGTAGCCGAGTCGTCCTTCGGCTTAAACAGCTAAGTCTGCTTAGCCCACGGCAGCAGTACTGACCAGTTTGTTCTTTGTTTGTATTTATTTATTCATCCATTCATTCATTTTGCTATAAGGACCTGTGCACTCGCCAGAGAGAGGCAAAGCAAGATTTTAATAAAGCAATACTTGGTTTAAAAACCGACTTCAAAGGTGTTTCTCCTGTTTCAGAAGACATGGACTTAGTAGAGTTTGGGGCTTTCACAGACCTTTGTGTACTTTCTAATTCAGTTAATCTACTTTATATTAATTTATTTCCTTGTTGAGTTTTTGTTTATATTCAGGAGATTAAAAAATAAGGACTGTGCTCCTTTTTAAAATACACCTTTGAAAGCTGTGAATTAAGAATTTATCATGCTTTGAAGTATTAAAGAAAATGGCAAGAATTACTTTTTATTTTTACATATAATGGAATTGTGTTGTTGACACATCAAAGGGATAGATACCTATAAATAAAATACGGACTTGTTTCCTTGCCGCTTAAAACACACGGAACATTTCAAAGAGGTTGGAAATTAGGGAAATTGTACTTTTCTCCAAAGAAAAGTGGCTAATTTTTATATCGCCATCTTGCAGGGCATGCCGAGGCTTTGAACAGGAAAGATTTGTTTTTATCGTCTGTAGAGCACTTGCACATACATAACTGCATTTGATCCCTTGAACAGCCTTATCAGGTAGACACAGGGGGATTATAATCACCATTCCACAGATGAGAAAGGTGAGACCCTTGATTGGGCGACTTGCCTAAGGGTACCCAGCCGGCCAGCAGCAGCTCCAAGGCGAGAGACGTGGTACTTCCGAGTCCCACTCGGGGCTGGCTCATTTCAGTAAGGTCGGAAGACTGTACTCACAGGCTCTTAGTTTCACAAACCCTTGGGTGCTTCATATATTTCTAAATGACATTATTCAGGTACACAGTTCCCTAATACTGTAATTTTTTAAAACCTCAGAAACTTGCAGTTGAAAGTGGATAAAATTGTGTGGTACTGGGGTGCAGGTGATGACGCGCTGTAGCCGAGTCGTCCTTCGGCTTAAACAGCTAAGTCTGCTTAGCCCACGGCAGCAGTACTGACCAGTTTGTTCTTTGTTTGTATTTATTTATTCATCCATTCATTCATTTTGCTATAAGGACCTGTGCACTCGCCAGAGAGAGGCAAAGCAAGAGAGAGAAGGAAAGTGAGAAAGCACCCTCCGGGAGGGAGGATCTCTCTGCAGTCCCTTCTCTCCCATTCTCCTCTCAGGATTTTGGGTGCACACTCAAATGCAGCCAGCTTGTTTTTTATACTTCCTGGTCTCAGACTCGAACCACGTAGTCAGCCATGTGGGACCCAACTGCCCTATCCACCATGCCAACCAACCGGCGCCCAATTTGTTTCTTGATCACTAAAATTCTCAGCAAGTTAGGACTGGAATTTTTATCAGTAAATATTATTTTGGAACAGTCTTTACTAAGATTAGTATTTTGTATGACCTTTCATAATTGCTTATTATTGTTGTCGGACATTTTACAAAACAACGTGATGTCAAGTCACAAAACTGTGTAGGGATCCTGTGGTCTGTCGCGTTTTGTTTCATTATTGTTTTCCTCCTCACTGTTCCCCTCTACCTCACAGCACCATATTATTTACCTCTCTATATAAGAAAATTCGAGACTCCCAACATGTAAAAATTCTCTGAAACATTGGTGATTTGGCATAAATTGCCACTGTCATTTAGTGTGGCTGTGTATAATTCTCCCTATGCCTCTTCTCGCTGGTTGTCCTATATTTTCTCAGCCAAGCTCATTCAGATTTCCTCCTTGTTCTTTTTGTTTTGCTTTTGCATTTTTTAAGTTTATTTCTTTCTTCCATGAAAAAGGAGGGAAGAGAAACAGAGAGCCAGGTACTCTGAACAGGGTCTTCACACTGCAATGTACCCATAGCTTCAGCCAGCCTTGGTCTGGGCACAGCCACAACCTGTGTGTTCAGGAAAGGCTCCAGACACAAACCTGGATGCTTCCCATTGGGTCCTCACAAGCATTGCATATGCACTGTGCCACTGTCGGCCCCATATTGTCATATGTAATATTTGTGTCATAAGAATCTCTCAGGGTCAGCATTTGGGGTGGTAGTTAAGACGCTGGACTCCCACATGGCCAACTGCAGTTCAAGTCCTGGACCCGGCGGCTTGAAAATCATTCCAGATGTGTATGCTTGAAATCCCAAGAGGAGAATGGAGGAGAAGGGATTACAGCCTGGCCATCCCCCTTGAGGGGTGATGTGTCATTTTCCCTCTCTCTGTGTCTCTCTCTTGCACGCAAAGACACGCACCCTAAAGGAAAAAAAAAAGTCTTAAAATAGAAAAGAATCTTTTAGCTTTCATATTCTATCATAGTTACTTAAAAATAATTTCTATACATTCTAGATTGAAATTGGAAGAGCGAAGAAAAGAGCTGCTGCAGAAACTTGAAGAAACTACTAAGTTAACTACTTATTTGCATTCACAACTTAAAAGGTAAGCCCGTGAAGTCCTTGAGAGGATTTCGCGTTTTGTTTTGTTGTTTTTTTTACATTCAGGCATGTTCTAGTCCACTTTTGATTTTGTTTTACTTTCTTTTTTAACTTTTTAAAAGTAAATAAAATAGTTATACTACAACAGTTAGTGATTAATGAAATTTCAAGTTGCATGGATTTTTTTTCAATTTTTCACGAACCCCAGGGTCATGAATGGGATAGGGATACATTTGCAATATGTTATAGGAAGAAGACAATATTTTAGCCAGCAGTACTTTGCTCCCATTGACCCATCTTTTGTAAAAGGAGAATGGGAGAGATTTTTCCTCAAGACAGTTAGCCACGGAGTCCCTCCTATTGACTAGAAGAATATTTACTTCTTACGTTCACACACACAGGAGAGGAAAGATGTGTGAGCCCAGAGGCCTTTTGTGTAACCTGTTCATTTTTATAAGCTGGCCCTTTTTTATTCTCTCAAACACTTTTTAACAAAGTAATAGCATCAACACTGTGTACTATTCATTCCTGGCTTCTCTCTTTTTTTTTTTTTTTTTTAGCTTTTCACTATTTTTTGATTACAGAATTGCTTCTGTAATCAGAGTCTGCCATAGAGGTAGCCTTACCAATAGATATTGGAGTCTTTGTTTTATTTCATTTTTAAAAGGAATTTTTTTTTTAAGTTTATTTATTCACTTCTTCCGTGAGAAAGAGAAAGGTGGCCGTCCTCAGCAGGGTGTCAGGCTGTAGTCCCCCCCCGAGCCACTGCCACCGCGCCGCGATCACAGGCACGAGCCTGCGTCTGGTGTGCACAGGTGCACCGGGAACCGAACCCGGACACGCCACACAGCCCCCAGCATTGCAGACCACCAGGCCACTGCCGTGCCACTGGGGCTGGATCAAAAGAGAATTTTTAATAAGAATAGCATTGCTTCTTAAAGAGTATTTCGAAAGCAAGATTCAAAATGCTAGTGAATCAACACGTAATGCGTGCCCTAGTGGCAAGCCCTCTGCCCTGGCTCTGCTCTTTGGCAGCACTGGGTCCCTCGCCTCTGGGGGTCTGAAGGAGCGAGTAGGCGTTGTGATGGGGTTTTCTGTGTCCTAATAGCGTTGATATTGTGTGCTTCCCTCCTGCCAGCCTCTCCGCCAGCACCTTGTCCGTGTCGTCTGGGAGCAGCCTGGGGTCCCTGGCATCCAGTCGGGGCTCTCTGAACACGTCCAGCAGAGGGTCGCTCAACTCGCTCAGTTCCAGCGAACTTTATTACAGCAGTCAGGGTGACCAGATGGACGTGGATTACCAGTATAAACTGGACTTCCTTCTGCAAGAGAAGGGTGGTTACATTCCTTCCGGACCCATCACCACCATCCATGAAAACGAGGTGGTCAAGTCCCCCAGCCAGCCTGGCCAGAGTGGACTGTGTGGGGTGGCAGCCACAGCAGCAGGCCACACTCCTCCACTGACTGAGGCCCCCAAGTCTGTGACGTCCCTGTCCTCGAGGTCCTCCCTTTCATCCTTGTCCCCTCCTGGCTCCCCCTTGGTTTTGGAAGGCACATTCCCCTTGTCTCATGACGCCTCCCTCCGTCAGTTCACTGCTGACTTCGAGGACTGTGAGCTGAGTAGCCACTTTGCAGACCTCAGCCTCGGCGAAAATCAGATCTTGCTGGATTCGGACTCAGGAGGAGCTTCCCAGTCTCTCTTGGAGGACAAAGACCTTAACGAGTGTGCTAGGGAGCCGTTATATGAAGGCACCGCAGGTAAGCCACTGCGCTCACGCGTTTCCTCTTCACTTCGGGATCCGAAGGTCACGTTTTCTATGCAAACAACTGGTACAGGCGCCCTTCCCTTTCTTCTGAGTTTTTATTTTGGCTTCATTTAAGGAGTTTTTATTCATATACCTAGACTTGTTTCCTTTATCAGACAGAAATTGCCTTCTCCATTTAACACCTGTCATTCGTAAATACTTGTCCTGTTGTCCAGAGACTCCGTGTGCGGCAGCTGACTGGAAACGTGGCATGAGAACACACTTCAGAGTCTGGGTCTGAAATAGCAAGGCAAAGAGGCCTTTCTTTTCAAAGTTGGCCTAAAACACATTAAAACCAAGGCAATTAGCATACCAGCTAATTAGTACCAAGGTTCACTGTTGAGATTGCTCAGGGAATTCTGTATAAACACAGTTTTTGTTTTATGCCAGACTCCGCTCTGCCTCAGGTTAATCTGGAGAGCAGTTCCGTGCGTGGTCTTACCCTGCCATCTTCTGGCCACGGCAACAGTTGCAGCCCGTGAGACGGGCAGGGACCATTTCATGTTTTGATTGTTTTCCTTTGCAAGGCAGATACTTGTAATATGTCAGGTCTGGTTGTAAAGAGAACAAGATGGGGCCCTGGTGACAGATGACCACTGTCGCTGTCCTGGGAAGATGGTCTATTCCAGAACTAGCTCGAGGTGAAACGTGAGATGAAGCTCCAGCACACGTCCACGGGAGTCCTGCTCACGTCACACATGCCCCGTGTGCCCCACCACGCAGGGGAGGACGGGCCTTTTAGAAGTATTTTCTTGCTGACTCGGGAAGAATTTGTATTGTATGTTTGATCCACGAATTCTGAGTATTAATCGATTGCTCAATTGAGATCTTTTTGTTTGTTTTTTATTTTTGTTTGTTTGTTTGTTTGTGGGGTTTTTTTGTGGGGGGGAGAGGTTTTTGCTATAGGGCTTGTGAGCTCACCAGACAGACAGAGAGAGATCGAGAGACATAAAGCGAGAAATCACCCCCAGGGGGGATGGCCACGCCGCAATCCCTTCTCCTCCATTCTCCTCTGGGGTTCTCGGGATGTTTAAGCCGCTGGGTCTGGCACTCGGTCCAGGATTCAGACCGCGGTCGACTACGTGGGAGTCCAGTGACATAGCCATTACGCTAACTGCTGGTCCCACCCAGTTGAGATCTTTAGAGACAGAGATAAATACAGTTTGTTACTGTGATTTCGAATCCCGAAATCCTGGCTTTGCCAGGGCCTGGCAGGTGAGACCTCTGAGTGGTGTGTGTGCCCTCCCCTGGGGGAGGCGCCAGAGCTGCAAGTATTAGATTCATTAACCACAAAGAAAACAAACAGGGTTGATGTGTCCCTAATGACTCAAACAAAACAGCCAGCCCCCATGGGCCTCGCCTCTGCTTCTGGGAAGGGGTGCAAAATGTGGTGGGATGCAGACCCCTCGAACCAGCCAAGCCCGCGCTGAACATCTGGTCACCACTCGGCCGCGTTTTGGCGAGGGGGATGGGCACAGTTCCCAGTCTGTCACACAGCCCCTTCCTCCTCTGCACAGTGGAGATGACGCGGTCGTCCTCGGACAGCACTGGGAGGACTGCTGCAGGACCGGGCAGGACACTGAGCCACGCCTGGCCTTCAGGACTCAGGACTCAGTTCACGGTGATTATGTTACTGTGTGACAGCGGTGACGATAAACCACACGGACGTGGCTGAGCACGGTTCCCACCACCAGCCCTTACTGCTTACGAAAGGAGAGCCCACTGCCATGGCACAGGGGCGACTCGCTGCTCTGCAGTGCGGGGCCGTGTGGGAGGGACGTCCTGGGGTCACGTCCCAGGGTCGCCCAGTGCTGGGGGCATGCATGCATGCCCGTGATCCAGGCCAGGCCAGCTGAGGCTAGGGGTGCATCTGGATGTGGGGACCCTGTGGGGTGCCCCATCCCCATCTCAGGAGACATAAACAAACAAGACAAAAGGTTATTTAGGGGAAAAAGAGCAGGGAAAAGAGGAGGAAGTGGGGAGTTCTTGGCGCCATTCTTTTGAGATTCGGACTTGAAGGAGCTTGTATTTCTTGGGCTTTTTAAGCTGTATCTGTCCTTGTGCATTTGGAGTATTCTCTAGTGACCACTTCTGGGCCTTCAGTCAATTTGGAGGGGCCCAAGAGTGAGGTCGGATGCTGGAGAAGGGGTAGGATGAGTGAGAGAAGCCACCCAAGACCTGTCACCGCCCAGTGGCCCCTTGGCTGAAGTCCCCATGCTGCCAGTGCTTTCCGGGCTGCGCCTCGCTCCTGCTGCTGTATCTTAGTCTGCGGCTGGAGACGAGCTAGCGTCTCTGTACTTCTGTGAAACCATTCTTAACCTCTTAAAAGCATATTATGTTAGAAAACTGCTGTTAAAAAGCTGCCCTAAGGGAAAATACATCCAAGAGCTTTGTTTGCAGATGATATGCCCCTTCGTGTCTGTATTTGACTGCAAGACTATCTTTCCAGGTCACCAGCGCTTGGTCTCTTCAGGGGACGTCTGCCCTCCATGTGGGGCGGGCAGCTCCCTGTCAGGGCCCCAGCTGCTCTCCCTCCCTGCTCCCAGTCTTAGCAGGTGGAGCCGCGTCCCTTTTATATACACCGCTCTCCAGCACCAATCCCAGCTGGATGACAGCGAGCAAGTCGGAATAACTAGGAAGTCCTTCCGCAGTCCGTCTCTGTGGTCGTCAAAGTCAATTTCAGGCTGCTGCGGTTATTCCTGGGGGTAATCAATAAATCATGTCATCACCTTCACCCCTCACAAAGGGGGGTGGGCAGAGAGAAGGCACTTCATCATCAAGGAAAAAGCATTCCCACTGCCAGAAATAAAAGGGGAAATGCAGCAATCAATCCTGTAATCTGAAGCCTTAAAACTTAAACATCTTAACAAGATGTAAAGTCACGACTCAGAAGGGGGCCGAAATGCATACCAATACAGATCCCTGCTCCTCGCACTCACCCTGGGATGAAAGCGCTCCGCAGGCCCGCAGCTTATTACAGCACCGAACACGGCTTTAAATGAATGCGCCTTGCTCGCTGCAGGATGCTGGCGTATGAATATGAGTTAGAGATAAAAGTTAAGTAGTAGTCGCTGCTAAAGATTCAGTTGCACAAAAAGTTTATATATATATATGTGTGTGTGTGTGCGTGTGTGTGTGTAATATGGTATTAGCTGGCGAGGGAAGTCCTGTAAGTCAAAGGCATTTTTTCCTTTCATTTCTATTAGAATAGTAGCTCAGGGGATGTAGAATCCAGCATGTGGGGGATGGGGAGCAAGAGAGGCGGGAGCCTTTCCTCCCACAGAGCAGCTCACAGCCCTCTGAGCTATCAGCAATCTCTCACGCAGGAGAAGGCGCTTGGATCCTTACCCTCGAGTATATGGTAACCACAGTGAAGACTCGAAAGCAAGAGGCTTGGGACTGGGGACAATTGGGTAGTTCATCCTTCCCCTAAAAATATTTCTGCGGAAGGAAAACCATCTTCTTTCCCAAATACTGACTGAACTAACAGATGGCCCGTGACTCTCGTGAGTGTAGTGCCTTGAAACGTACGTGTCTGGGGACTCCTGTCGTAGTGGGCATCTTTGCCTCTCAACAGAAATTTTATTTTGGATTTCTCACAGCCCAACCGTGTGTGTCTTTTAGACTTGACTTCCTTTAATAGAAATCCAAATTAGCGTTCTCATTCTCCCCTCCTTAGATGTGGAAAAATCATTACCAAAAAGAAGAGTCATTCACCTGCTTGGGGAGAAAGCGGCTTGTGTGTCGGCTGCTGTATCCGACGAGTCTGTGGCTGGCGACAGCGGGGTCTACGAAGCCTTCGTGAAACAGTAAGGGCTGGGCAGGGGCGCGGGTTAGCTGCACGGGCCTGTGCGTGGGAAGCGTGCTTGCCTGGTTAGTTTGCTCTTTGCAGCAGTGAGGACCTGAGCCATGGAAGACACGGTGAGCCTGAAGGTCTCAGTGTACCAGACTGCCCTCGGCCGCGGGCACGCTCCACAGATAGGTGTACTCAGAGGCAGCTGAGCACCACTCTCCATGAGATGCAGAAGACGTGGTTTAGTGGCAGCGCTGGGGTGGCTCACCAGTACCTGGGTGGCACTCGCAGCTTCAGGTGCATCTCTGAGGATCTGGGATGTCTCCAGGGTGTCCGGTACCCCTTGTGAGGCTCAGGGTAGTCAGACATCAGAAAGTCTTTTCCCGAAAGTGCAGAGGCCGAGTCTTCTTGCAAAGGTAAAGAAATCCTGTAAAACAGAGAGCTTTCACGGGGATCAGTTCCACTGGGCAGTAGAGGAGAGCTGCTAATTCAGGGTTTTACTCAGAATCATTAAGTGGCAAACAGTAACCCGACCAGTCGATATCCCCATTAATTAGCTGTTCACCCACTCCGTGTCCCTAGGCCGAGTGAAATCGAAGACGTTCCATTCAGTGAAGAGGAGGCTGCCATTGTGGAGACTGCCCAGGTGCAGATAGGACTCAGGTAAAGGGTGGCACGTGGGGCCGGGGGCAGGGCCAAGAAGCTGTAGGCACGTGGCCGGTGCTTATTCCTGAATTCATGGTTTCTCTTTTGGCAGATACGATGCAAAAAGTTCAAGTTTCATGGTGATAATAGCACAGCTCCGAAATCTTCATGCTTTCTTGATACCTCATACATCAAAAGTGTAAGTAAAAGCAGAGAACAGATCGAGGAACTTAAACATTTCCACGTGAGATAATTTCACATTGTAATTGAGCATTTCATCAAAATGAAGCCGTGGGGAAAACAGCTCAACTGATCATGTGTAGAAATCGGTGGCAGATAAAGATGATGAGAAAAGGAAGATGTGAGCAAGGTGTATAGAGTTTTGGTCTTTTATCAACTGATTCATTAAGACTAGAAGCATGGGACCAGCAGTTAGTGTAATGGCTGTGTCGCTGGACTCCCACGTAGTTGACCGTGGTTCAAGTCCCAGACCCGGTGGCTTAAAACTCACGCCAGGCGCGTGTGCATGCGTGCCCCAGATCCCGAGAGGAGAATGGAGGAGAAGGGATTGCGGCATGACCATCCCCCTTGAGGGGTGATTTCCTGCTTTCTGTCTCTCTGTCTCTCTCTGTTTGGCGAGTGCATGCACCCTATAGCCAAAACCTCCCCCCCCCCAAAAAAAAAGAAGACTAGAAGCCAAGAGAATGGCAGGTGGCATGGTGGTTAAGGACGCTGGATTCCCACATGGCTGACTGGTTCGAGTCCCAGACCTAGTGGCTTGCTTTCTCTCTCTTTCTCTCTCTCTCTTTCTCTCTCACTCACTCATTATTCCATCCCTCTCTGGTCAAAATAAATAAATAAATAAACAAACAAAATTAAATAAAATAAGTCTTTTTAAAAAAGACTAAAGCCAAGACTGTATCTTCTTTTCAGTCAAATTCTGTTATGCTGTGTTTAGGCCTGATTATTTGAAATATGATTTAATTTTTTTGTTATTGCATGAGAGTTACTGCTATTGGTTTGGAGGACTTTTCCAATCTTTTAATGTGAAAATGTACTGATTAAATTCTGTTTATCAGTATAAGTTGCCAATCAGACATTCTATCATACTACGTGTGAGGATATGTTCTTTTCCTCAAACATTCACTTCCCACGACCAAACGTTTCTTAAAGTTATTTCACTTCCTTCAAACAAGAATCCCAACTAACTCATGGCATAATGCCACAGTCCATTGCGTGGGCAGGTATTTCTCAGCAGACATTTCTAGAAATCTTTACCGCCATTTACACTTTCCTGAGTCAGCTTCAGTGACTTGTGGCTGGAAGGTACAGGAGAGAAGCAAGATGGCAACTTAGCACTTTTTAGACCCCAGGACCTGCATTTAAACTTCCGGTAAGAGGCAGTTCCAAATAGTATTTTGAAGGCTGGTTGAGAACGTGGTTTGTGACTCCTTACCAGTAAGTGTGCTGTGATACTGGAGGGGCATCGTAAGAAGACAGGTCAGGGAGGAACAGAACGGCCAGAGAGAGAATCTCTGAGCAGCGAGAACCAACTCACAAGTTCAGAGGAATAGTATAGACGGTCCCAAGAAAATGTATTTAAACAAATTTATTTTTAATTTTATTATTATTATTATTATTATTATTTAGGAAACTTTTGCTTTAGGGTGCTTGTCCTCACCAGAGAGATAAACAGAGAGGGAAAGTAAGAAATCACCCCCAGGGGGCTGGCCATGCCTCAACCCCTTATCCTCCATTCTCCTCCCAGGATCTTGGGCACGCACGCACGCACGCACGCACACGTGCCCAACATGATTTTCAAGCCCCTGGGTTCAGGACTGAAACCACAGTCAGCCATCCAGGTCTCCAGCAACATAACTGCTGCCATTTGCTGGCCCCACACGGAGACTTTCTTTAAGCTAACATCGCAAGAGTCACCTGTCCAAGTGCGCCACCTGCTTGAACCAGTTATAGTCACCCTCACATACCTCACAGAAAGTCGCGAAGTGTTCTCTGGAGGTGTGGTGACATCGGGGTCAGTCGGGACCAGGGGTAGTGCTCTGCCCAGCTTGCGGCTCTAGGATGTGCCTCTGCTCCCAGCTCAGGTGCAGCCCCTTCTCTAATTGAGCCGAATTTTTCCTGCAGCGTCCAGTGACACTTTTTTTTTTTTTTAAGTTTTTGCTATAGGGTGTGTGTGCTTGCCAGAGAGAGACAGATGAAGGAGAGAGGAATGTAAGAAATAGCCCCCCCAGTGGGAATGGCCATGCCACAGTCCCTTCCGCTTCTCCTCAGGATGCTGGGCATGTATGCATACATGCCTGGCGTGTTTTTCAAGCTGCTGGTCGAGGACTCTGAACCACTTAGTCAGCTGCCTTAACCTCCATGCCACCTGCTGGCCCCTCTAGCAAGTCCTTCTTTCCTTCTTTCTTTCCTTTATTTTTAGAGAGAGATTTTTGTGATAGAGCCCGCGCACTTGCCAAAGAGACAGAGACAGAAAGTGAGAACCCCCCCCCGGGGGGCGGGGGGGAGGGGAATGGCCAAGCTGCGATCCCTTCTTCTCCATTCTCCTCTTGGGATGTTTGCACATACGCACACCCTGTGTGAGTTTTAAGCTGTTGGATTCAGGACTCAAACCATAGTCAACTATGTGAGAGTCCAACAACATAACCATTACCCATCTGCTGGTTCCATAGCACTTTCTTAACCCTTATAAAACCACCTTGGCAAATCAGCCAGGTGATCTGGTAGTCAAGGCAACTGGATCCTACATGGCCGACTGAATGGTTCAAGTCCCAGACTAGCAGCTTGAAAAACCCAGTGAGCAAGTATGTGTGCATGCCCAAAATCCTGAGAGGAGAGTGAAATACAAGGGATTGTGGCATGGCCATCGTCCCTGAGAGTTGATTTCTCTCTTTGACTCTCTCTGTCTCCAGTGAGCACACACACCCTATAGCGAAACTGGAAAGAAAAGAGGGGGGAAAAAGCCTTGACCTAAATAATGAAACTGTTAAAAATGACTCATATGAAGTGTCCTTAAAATACCTTTCTTCTTCAACTTAAAGATATATGTTTTGATTATTCATTAAGACAAGCAGAGTCTGTGCTTCAGCTTGTTAACAATAGCCAGTGTCTCTGTGATGTCTCGTGGTTTACCTGACCCCTGCTTGGAGAGACCCCCCCCCAACACATACACCAGAATGAGAGAAAAAGCTCCCCTTCCTTCTTTCCTTTATGCCTTTGGCTCTTAACCATGTAATCTCATTTTTTAAAAGAATATTTAATTTTTATTTATTAATTATTATTCAATTTGACCAGAGAGAGAGACAGAGAGAGGGAGAGTGAGAAGATAAGCCACCAGGTCCGTGACTTGAACCATGGTTAGCCATGTGGGAGTCCAGCACCTTAACCACTACACCACCTGCTGGCCCCCCAAATCTCATTTTTTAAAAAAAGTTTAAATCCTTTCATGGGAGAGAGAGGAAGGAAGGGAGATAGGCACCCTTGACAGGTCTCACCATGCCATGATCCATCCTCCCCCACCAAGCCTTCCAGCCAGCCAGGATCACGGATAGACATGTGTGCACACCTGGCATGTTTCATGTCAACCCAGGATCTGAACCTTTAGCTTGCATGTGGCTCTAGCATCGCAGAGTGGTCCACCACTGCAGATGTCCCCATCTCACTTTTTAAATGTAGAAACATTTTAAAATTTTTTAAATTTAACTTTACTTATTTATTTTAATTTGACCAGAATGTGTGTGTGAGAGAGAGAGGGAGGAAGAGAAAGAGAGCAAGCCACCAAGTCTGGGAATCAAACCACAGTCAGCCATGTGGGAGTCCAGCACCCTTAACCACCATGCCACCTGCCAGCCCCTGGAGAAACATTTTTATTGTTACTTACAGGGTGAGGCCACTGGTACAGAGCAAAGCCAAAGGCTAGAGAAGCAGAAAATCCCTTCCCTCCATTCCGACTCTGTAGTGCCCTGCTTCATTTCTCTTCCATGAAGGAAGAGAGAGAAGATTTTCTTCTGCCGAATCCCACCCTGCAGCGAGAGCGAGCTGAATCTCAGGCAGTGCCTTAAATCAACAGCAAGTAGCCCGAGGCCTACCGGGTTTTAATGCTGGGTCTCCATAATGAACGTTGATATAAGATACAAAATGATATGACATTCCTCAGTTCCGTGTTTGAATTTACAGCTTTTCTAATTGGAGCCGGCTTATTTTAGAATATGAGCTACATGAGCCTGAAAGTAGGTGGGGGCTATTCAGTGGCTATTCTCTTTCTGGGGTTTAAAGGAAAGTACCTTGTGCTGGTTCCAAGAATTGTGAATCCTCATATGACCTGTGTTCGGAATATTCATTTTCAAGTTGTGTTAGAAATCACTTTTTTTCTATAACTCTTCCTCTGAATTTTACAAAGCGTGAGGCTCATTTAAACAGTTTGTCATATCTGAGACTTGGGAAGTACTAGATAATATTTTTTATTATTATTTCATCTGTTTTAGGTTTTCTTTTCTTTTTTTCCTAAGAGATTTTTTTCCCCCCTAAGAGCACGTGTGCTCATCGGAGAGAGAGAAATAAAAAGCAAGAAATCACTCCCCAAGGGGCATAGCCAATTCCTTCTCCTCTTGAGATTTGGGGCACGTGTGCGCACACACACACACACACACACACACACACACGCACACACACCCAACAGTTTCAAGCTACTGGGTCTGGGACTAGAACTGCAGTCAACCATGTGGGAGCCCAGCATCTTAACCACCACGCCATCTGCCGGTGCCTTGAGTTTCTTTAACAATATGCTACTTAGCCTTTCTTCTTCTCTAGAAGGTTAATGTACTGATTCCTGGGAAGCGCTCGTCAGCATTTCTAGTTAATACTCAGGCTGAGAAGTGTTTGGTGTAAAGTCACCAGCAGCTACCTCGTGTGTTCCTACCTTCCCAGCCTCAGAAATAGCTCGTTTTGTTATTGACTGTACTTGGGCAGGTGGGACATCGAATTCCTCTGCCCTGGGACTTTCTTCCCCTTCGCTTTCCTGTCACAGGCTATGACTGCACCCCCGCTGTGGGTGGGGCCTGCATGCTCAGGGCACAGTCGGCATGGGTGGGCTGAGGGCAGAGTATCCGTGCAGCCGAGCGAGCCGGCCGCAAGTGAGTGCCATGTGTCCCCTCCTCACTCCTGCAGATAGCTCTAACAACAGTAAACCCGGCATGACTGAAGTACCTGTGAAATCCGCTGTGCTCTTGTTTGCAGATATTTCAGGGTTGCTGTACTTCCCTCCTCGACTGACGTCAGCTGCCTATTTCGAACAAAAGTCCATCCGCCCACAGAAGCCCTTTTGTTCAACGATGTGTTCAGAGTGGCCATTTCCCAAACAGCCTTACAGCAAAAGACCCTGAGAGTGGATCTTTGCTCTGTCAGTAAACGCCGACGGGAAGAATGCCTGGTAGGACTCTTCACAGTTTCCAGTGTCAGGTCACCCTGTGGCCGGGTAGGCTGAGGCAGCTGCTCTTGCTCTTTCACCAGCCCTGAAACTGCTGCTAAGCTACCCAGACCTCAGGACACTTTTATTTTTAATTTTTTTCTGTTCTGCATTCTCTTATTCCAGAGCTTTAAAATCTGCTTATATATCGTGACTCTGTAAAAGCTCCCTCTGTGTCTACCCTGTGAAGCACCTGCGCCTTAGTTACGGCTGTCCTTCATGGAGCAGGCCGACTGCTCTCACAGCTCAGCTAGGCCGAGTGCTGAGTGTCCTGTGCAGATTACCCCCACTTAACCCTCACGGCCATCTTAGAAAAGAGTGATAAAAAAAGGAGACGATTGTCCCCGGTTTTCAGATAAAGAGCTGCCTAGGGAGGTGACAAATTCAGGGTCGCACAGCTAGTGAAGGATGGAGCCCAATAGCAAAAGGTCACCCCCACATAGTTCACTGCTAGGATTTGCAATTAATTGAGACACCAACTATACAGCTCTTTCATTCAGTGCATTCTCCCCATGGATTAAAGCTCCTAGGGGGACCAGCAGTTGGTGTAATGGCTATGTCACTTGACTCCCACGTAGTCGACTGCAGTTTGAGTCCCGGACTGGGTGGCTTAAACTCATGCCAGGCACATGTACGTGCATGCCCAAGATCCCGAGAGGAGAATGGAGGAGAAGGGACTGTGGCGTGGCCATCCCCCCTGGGGGGTGATTTCTCGCTTTCTGTCTCTCTGTCTCTCTCTGTCTTTCTGGTGAGCACACGCGCTCTATAGCAAACCCCTCCCCTCTAAAAAAAAATAAAAGCTTCTAGGAAGATATGATGTTAGTATTTAGAACCATGTGATATTTAAGTGCTACACCGTAGAGCTAATGCTTAACCACCAGTGATTTGAACATTCTGTTATGTTTAATAACCCAAACTGCCATGTACCGATAGTCACACAGATGTTCAAATGCAGGCCTCTAGAGGTGTGCCCATGTGTTCAGAAGACAGTGTGGGTCTCTGGTTGAACTTTTCTCTGGGGTCCAATAGAAGGCACAGAAACACGTGTGTTTCACAGAGAACAAACTTGAAAGGGTGATCAATTTTTCTTAAAATTGTTCTAAGTTGAAAAGTTTGATAACATTGAAAAGAAAGAAAGAAGCAAAGATAACAGACCACTGGGCTCTTAGAAAGGCTTTAATGGGGCCAGCTAGTGGTATGATTAAGGTGGCTGGATCCTTCATGGCCAACTGAGTGGTTCAAGTCCCAGACCTGCAGCTTCAAAACACTCTGAACGCTGTGCGTGTGTGCGCAAAATCCCAATGGAGGAGAAGAGATTGCAGAGATTGCAGCATGGTCATCCTCTGGAAGGATGATTTCTCACTCCCCACTTCTCAAGCAAGCACACACACCCTATAGGAAAATGGAAAAAAAAAAAAAAAAAAGGCTTTAGCCCAATAGATAACATATTTAGTAAAATATTTATTAAAAACTCCAGAAGTGTTACTAAACATGTTAAATGATATTCTATTTACAAAAATAGTTTGATTTAACTTATCTATGATTATATGTAGTTTGGAGGAATAAGAAAGTCTGTATATAACCTTTTTTGATGTTCTACTAATGTATACAGAGAAAAATTTTGCTATCTGATTTCTCATTCAAGAACCCAAGGAGAGTTTTTATTTGTTTTTAAATTTTTTTCAGAGGATAATGGCCTGTTTGTAGTAATCAAGTTGCTCTTATGGCAGTTTCTTAGAAGTACAGTCTTAGTACTCTTATTTATTTTTATTTTTAAACTTACCATTGGAAAAATAATTCCACATTTACAGAAACATTACATGCTTACTCATTGGATGTTGACAAATAGTATCTAACAAAATAATCCCAAAATTGGCTTTTAGATTGGGGAATTTCTTAGTCACAGCTGAAAATGTAAGATGTTTCCGGATTTTAAAAAAATGCCACCAATGCATTGTATCATGAGTATTACAGTTAAAACAAGCTCACTCAATAACCTTTGCTATGTAAGGGGAAATAAGTACTAACTTAAACATTCTTTTATCTCTTCTTTACTTATTTAGTTTGTGTTGTTTTCTTTCATTTCGCATAGGCCGGAACTCAGATCAGCCTGGCCGATTTGCCATTCTCCAGTGAGATTTTCACTCTGTGGTATAACCTGCTTCCCTCCAAGCAAATGCCTTGTAAAAAGAACGAAGAAGAAAATGAAGACTCTATCTTTCAACCAGACCAACCATCAGTAGATCCTATAAACTTGGTGAGTCAAAATCAGAGAACAAAAGTATTGCGACTTAAGGGGCCAGCAGGTGACTTGGCGATTAAAGGCGCTGGATTTCCACATGGCCGACTGCGGTTCAAGGCCTGGACCTGGTGGCTTCCTCTCTGTCTTTCCTTTTCTCTCTTTCTCTCTGTCTCTCTCCGGTCAGATTAAAAAATAATAATAACAAATTGAATTAAATACTTATTTAAAAAAGAAAAAAAGTAATATGAAATAGAGAATGCTTTTAGACCAACATGTCTTATTCACTGTTCTTCTTTCTCTCCTTCCACGGTTTTACCCCTTGCTCCCAGTTTCCTAAGAATTAAAAAAATAAAAAATAATAAAAAATAAAAAAAGGAAGGATATGATCATTTCCAGCTTTGTTTCAAGTAGGGTCTATAAAAGCATCAGTTTTCTGAGCCAGCAGGTAATGTGGAGGTTAAGGCAACTGGATCCCACATGGCTAGTGTGCAGTTCGAGTCCCTGGTCCAGCGGTTGAAAGTCACACTGGGCTTGTGTGTGCATGCCCAGAATCCCAAGTGGAGAATGGAGAGGGAAAGGGATTGCACGGTGGCCATCTCCCCTGGGGGGCTGTTTCTCACATTCCCTCTGTGTCTCTCCAGCAAGTACATGCACCCTATAGTAGAAACTAAAAAGAAAAATAAAGGATCAATTCCCTCCCCGCGCCCTTTGTTTTAGAATTTTGCTTTTAGG